TCTTTAATGCCCGCACACAGTAAACAAACACACATTTTTGAACACGTATAAGAAAAAATAAGTGTTGTCTTGTTACGGATCAAATCGAAGTCCTGTTACAATTCAATTAATTGATAAAAGCGTGTATCGCAAGGCAGTGGCTAACCCAGCACTATTACGCTATTTTATAAATACATTCGTCAGATCTGGAATCTTTAATCTTTAATTTTTAATCCCTGCACACAGTAAACAAGCACACATTTTTTAACATGTATATATAAGAAAAAATAAGTGTTGTCTTGTTACGGATCAAATCGCCTGTTACAATTCAATTAATTGATAAAAGCGTGTATCGCAAGGCATCGGCTAACCCAGCACTATTACGCTATTTTATAAATACATTCATCAGATCTGGAATCTTTCATCTTTAATTTTTAATCCCCGCACACAGTAAACAAACACACATTTTTGAACACGTATATATAAGAAAAAATAAGTGTTGTCTTGTTACAGATCAAATCACCTGTTACAATTCAATTAATTGATAAAAGCGTGTATCGCAAGGCATCGGCTAACCCAGCACTATTACGCTATTTTATAAATACATTCGTCAGACCTGGGATCTTTAATCTTTAATTTTTAATCCCCGCACACAGTAAACAAACATACATTCATGAACACGTATAAAAAAATAAGTGGTCTCTTGTTACGGATCAAATTGAAGTCTAGTTACAATTCAATAATAAATGCATTTGCTAACTCAGCATTATAGGCTATTTAATAATACATTCGTCAGATTTGGAATCTTAAATTATAATCATAATTATATGAGCCCACGCGTGGGAAGTGAAAGTGAAAGGAATTGAAAATGCTTTCAAAAACAATTATGAAAGTAACATAATCAAAGTAGGACTACATGTGCTTATAAAGGCCCAAAAAGGTGTATGGATGCGGAAATTAATGTTACTTATTATCAAATATCTAGGCTACTGAACTATCAAACACCTAGGTCTAGATTCTCCTACTTTTACATAATGACTTAGATCTATATCAATTCGTTTTAACCAATGAGTATTTTTTTCAAACATTTGCACACATCTATAAGTTCTATATTATTGTAGAAATTTCTTAAAAGAAAATTCTTTAATAAATACAAGCCCAATATAAAATTTAAAAAATCCCAGTCAATGGTTTCTACAGATTTTTAAAAAGTTTATAGCTGGAGCTAAATCTCTTTTAAAAGCAAGTCCGTCCTTTTTTCTACTTCTGCTGGCGACATAAAGTTAATTATTGAACGCATGTTTTGAGAACATTAATTAGATCTAGTGAAAAAATATGTTCAGTGTAAAACAAATTTCTTGTAACAAGTTTTGCTACTAAAAAATTACGTAGGCCATATGCGTATGCAAAAAGGTGTGTGGGAAGCTAGAAGTGCTGTGAACAATCCCATCCGTGTTACGATTTTTTTCACAGTTCTGTAGATCTTATATTTATAAACTCTCTATGTCTGCTGTTTCTGTTGTTGCACCCAAAAACACAACAATTTAAAACCTTAATTCCAATCTCTAGTTGCACAGTGAATTCTGTAACTCAAAATTACAAACTGGACAGTAAATGTTCCACTTTTCACTCGTTTGTAAAAGCCGCTATTGCTTTAAAAGCTATAGGGTTACTTCCGAAAACGATAAATCGTGCCCTCAAGACGCCATTGTTTTCGGTCTTCAATTCCTCACAGGTCACGTGGTACAGTTCCCGTTCTATAAGTGTAGAATTCTGTGGACGGTTCTCACGAACCCTCGTTAATGAAACTCTTCTTGGGAAAAGGTAGAAGACTTGAAGAAAAAAATAACACTGTACAGAGGGCTCACGCTGCCCAGCCCTGACAATGGGGTGAAAGTTTACGACACACTTTCCCCCAGTGACACAGTTACCTACGCTCTCATTGGACCTGTGTTAGGTGCTGTCTACTTTCCTCGACTACACGGCCTAATCCAGCTCGTGGAGTGCTGTGTATGCATGTTTGTGTGTGTGCCGCTGAGATTTAACAGTTATTAATTACATCAAACCTCTTATGGGGCAACCTTTTCATCAGATGAAAATTAATAAAAGAAGTTTGAAGGTGAAGCAGTTTCGTCCCCAGCATCCAGAAAAATTTAACGTACATGTAGAGCAAAGAGAAGGAAGACAAAGGTGACTCTTCTCGTTTGAATGGTTCTCAAAATGCCGCGGCTCGCCATGGGTATGGAAAAATCACAACTGCTTTGTTCTTATTGCTTGCTATCTGGTGGTAAAGAAGTGAAAGCAACCCAAGCCCTACCCAGATTTTGGTCCACCCACTGCCACTGTGTA